TGCTTAGACCCATTGACAAAAATTACATTCATAAATGCATAACACAGGTGTTCATAGAATCTCAGCACGTGGGAACTGATAGTAACCTGATCACACTGCGTAGTAATACACTACAAAAACTACTCACTCGGAACGACCGACCTAGATGCTTAATTCTTACATCTTAAAATATTATTGAACTGTGCTTTGTGAAATATCCACGTATTCACGTGTCCTGTGCTACAAATAAACATTGAATATGGAACTACATTTTGTTGTGTTATTGTTGTTGACGGTTGCTAAGATCTCTCACGATAGTGTCACATTTCCCCGCGAAAAAACACTGTTCTCGCCACTGCGTTGCACCCGTGTATAAGCAGGAACAAACCCTGTTTATTTGTTTTATTCGTTGTTATATCGATCCACTGAAAGGATTCGTCAATGTAAATATAAGGAATGATATTTATTTTTTCAACATTTATGAGTTGACGCGATTCATTCAATATGTCCATAAACCCATTGTTGTTATGACCTCATAAATGTTGAAAAAATAAAAATCATTCCTTAAATGAACATTAAATATTACGGAGCTGGACTCCAATATAAATCCCTTTAATATCTCCCCTTCTTGGAACGATTATGAACAGAAATTAACAGTATTCCTTGCAATTGTAATGTTGAATTTTTGAGATGTTAACGGTTTATTTGGTTTTTGAGGAAATACTTTGTTAATAATATCATCTTGTTTCAGTATTTTGAACTTCGATACCAAAGCAAAGCACCTCGTAACTTTGGCACGGTGGCTGGAATGCTGTATTACGTACGTAACTCATTTATTTCTGTACATGTGTATGAAAAAAAACACCTTCCCAAATAGCATCAGGTATTAAAACGGGAAAATATTACCTACGTTCTCTATATCGTCGTTATGACGGTGTCATGAGACTGATGGTGCATTAAGTGTGCACCTGTAGGCATATTGATGTAGATCCTGCATGGTGAATATGCTCGCTACGAAAAAGTGCCATGATACCTCATATAAGTTTTATTAAATGCGTTAACTTTGTATATACATTTCACCAAGTATAAGGAATATAAATAGTATGCAATAGACATTTTGTAATATAAGCTTTACAAAAATGCCTCATACATGTACGATAACATTTGTGATGTCATAGATAATACATGTACGATAACATTTGTGATGTCATAGATAATACATGTACAAATGATACGATCGTTGATTAATAATACATTCAGCATGTAGAATGGTTTGAATATGTTGACACATACACTGGAAAAAAATACGGTGATCATAAAATTGAATACAAAGGTAAAACTATCACCGCAGAATGAAACATATGAAAATACTGTCTACTTGTCATCCATTATTGTTATAGATAGTTTACATGGGGATCGTTCTCTACGGACCAGCTATAGCTCTGGAAGCAGGTAGGACTCTCAGGTTGTCTACACTCAAACTTAACTGTAAAGTGTAAAACAACCATGTATAAAATAGTATGATAACAATGTACACAACCGTATGATTACATGTACAAATTGCAATAAATTGTAATACATCGATGCACAAAATCGTATGTTTACAAAATTGTTATACAACCAGTTACGAAACCGTTTGACTACATGTACAAAATTCCAATAAATCCATTTACTAAACCGTATGACTACATGTACACAAATGTATGACTACATGTACACAAATGTATGACTACATGTACACAAATGTATGACTACATGTACACAAATGTATGACTACTATGTTTAATTAGATATGTGTCGTTCTGTATTCACTTACACCCAGGTGATGTTAGCCGCTGAAATCTGAGTGAAATAACATATTTTTCGTTCGGACTCAAGTCAAAATATACTGGTTTCACAGACTTACTGCAATGTTTGTTTTAATACCCAGTGGCGGACTTCCCATTCTGGGCATCTGTTTTCTCTGTAGCGGGGGCAGCCATTATTTACACTTCTATAGTAAGTAACTTTTGAAATAATTATGTACTCTAACCACTACAGTTTTGACAGCAAACACACATATGTAATATTGCATTGAAATCTGAGACTAGCAGTGCATATAACCCACCTTTGTATTGAAACCGCTTGATTGTAAAGACCTTCTATTTAGATCGCTTTTCTGTAAATAACTATGATAGACCTCGGTCTTATTATCGAGCCAATGTTGAATTATCTAATAGATAACTTTGAAGTACCAACAATGATCACTACAGTAGATAAACATCAAAATATTAATCCCTGAAACATTCCTCCTAATAAACCTGCAAATGCATAAACATTTCTGTGATTGGTTCGTCATCAAGAAATACATTTTGTTACAGTATAAACCATGTTCACTTGCTGTATAAACACAACAGAGGAGTCATTACATGATTTCACTGACGACATGATGATCAGCACTCCATTACCTATTGTTGCCTTTATTTGTAGTGTTTATATTATCTTCATTATTTTGTGACATCTCAGTTGCAATTGTTGTCTTTTTATTTCGATATGTTCTTGTGGTTTCCATATTGCCTCTTTTACATGATTTGTAAAATGTTTCTGCACAGGGCAGACTGAAGGCGGTGGTGTGGACGGATGTTTTATAATGTATAATTATATCTCTGTACAGGGCGGACTCAAGGCGGTGGTTTTGACGGATGTTTTAAAATGTATTATTATATCTCTGTACATGGTGAACTCGAGGGAGTGGTGTGGACGGATGTTTTATAATGTATTATTATATCTCTGTACATGGTGAACTCGAGGGAGTGGTGTGGACGGATGTTTTATAATGTAATATTATATCTCTGTACAGGGTGGACTCGAGGCAGTGGTGTGGACGGATGTTTTATAATGTATTATTATATCTCTGTACATGGTGAACTCGAGGGAGTGGTGTGGACGGATGTTTTATAATGTATTATTATATATCTGTACAGGGCGGAATCAAGGCGGTGGTGTGGACGGATGTTTTACAATGTATCATTATGACGCTTGGTATGTTTGCTGTTATTATAAAGGTATGTTGTTAAAGGGGGTCTATATTCTATGTATTTAATCAAGTCCTACACAGGTGGTATCTCAGGAGCGCATACCACCTCAAACGAAAGGTTACTCCTTCGAACCGTTACAGCCAATAAAAATGTGTGTATCTATTACACAATAGAGTTAACCCCTTATTCAATTCAGTTGCAATTGACCAGGATTTGAAGCTTAACGAATACAATTATGATTCAATAGTGTAAGTTCGCAAACAAATAGATGACCTCTTATGACGTTCTTGTAAAAATAATAGTGGGAATAAGTTTACTGATTAGATAATAATAAACAAAAAAAACAGTGTCAGATCGTGTTACAGGATCTGTGCTTATTTACAAATTTAGAGACAGTTCGTCTCTATACAGGTATCTTTAAATATCAGACATCTCTTTTTCTTACGCATAAACGTATGCTAGCAATATCATTACAGTTTGAAAAAATATCAAATATCTGGTTCGTCGTTTACCATTAACGTTGACATTCAAAAATTTGCATTTTATGGTTAATCATCCGATCAGTTGACAGAAACCGCACCTTTACATGTTTCTATTGTTTATACTTTCATTTCTGTATGAATGCTGTTATACCGACATTTAACAACTTCCGCATGTATTGCTGATATTGTCTACTAACCGGGCCGACGTCAATAAACCAGCATACTGTATAATTATTTAATTTTCGCGGGGCTAGTGCTTCACGGTTGTCCTTTTTGTGAGTTATTTAATCTATATAAATTACAAGCATTCCTTTTTATTTCAGGGTACAATGAACGTAGGAAATTTCGGAAAGGTCTTCCAAATTAATAACGAAAATCTACGAATGAACTATTTTAAGTAAGTATGTAACGTTTCATAAAGGTGATGAGTATGTAGAAGGATCATGGGAATATTATGATCGAGTGAATACTTGTCTTTTAGATTTTTCTATTACAAGGCTACCGCATATCTATAACAAAATATAAAACAAAGCGGTGCCGCTTCAATTGTCCGCCGACAATCTGGTCGTCTCAACTGATGTTCAGTCGAGGCAGGGATAATTCACAATGTGAGTTTCGAATGTACAATTCAGCAGTGAGTTCTGAGTCGCCTAAATACTGGTACGTTGTCTTTTGTTATATTCCAGCTTTGACCCTGATCCGACGGTCCGGCACACCTTTTGGTCACTATTCGTGGGGTCAACTATTGTGTATTTTGGGATGGCATTTAACCAGGCAACGGTTCAGCGGATCGGCTCAGTCAAGACATTACAGGAGGCCAAAAAGTAAGAAGATTTTCATCTAGATGCAGAATATGTTCTAACCTACGTTTTAAAACTTTCCTACCATGTCCAGTAAGTGTTGATATCACCTGTGTCTGTTGAACTGTCCGTGAGTGTAGATTAGGATATTCTTCATGACTGCCCTATACTAAAATAGTGCCATAAGTCTGCATAACTGCTTAACTACTTGTATTGAGGGGAAAAGTTTAAGATAACACTTTCAATAACTACATCAGTACTGTATATATAGATTTTTTCGATTAGTCAACTTTTCGCTTTTTTTGCCCGCCGTAATGAGGCGAATTTATCATTACAGCGAACATAAGCAAACAACATAATATGAATCAGATTTAAATGTAAAGAAAGAAATTTACAATGGACGAATATGGATTATTCTGTCGAAGGGCTAAAGTTTTACTGGGTGAATTCCGTGACAGTCTATAATATTGCGAATGTTGTAAACATTACGTATCTAATAATATGATTCAGCATATTCCATGTTGTTATTTCATCATTTCATTCATTTAATAAGTAGAATACTTACGTTTTTTAATATAATATATAAATATTCCACTTCCAGTATTCTGTATATCGCCGGACCAGCTTACTTCGTGTTTGGTATTATTGTAATTATTGAGGGACTAGTAATGTTTGCCTACTTCAATACTATTGGGTGTGATCCCATGGAAGCTGGTATTATCAGAAACGCGAACCAGGTAAGTATCTAGTCGCCCAGTTTCTACTGAAGTTGGTATTATCAGGAACGCGAACCAGGTAATTATCTAGTCACCAGGTTTCTATGGTAGCTGGTATTATCAGGAACGCGAACTAGGTAAGTATCTAGTCACCACGTTTCTACTAAAACTGGTATTGTCAGGAACGCGAACAAGGTAAGTATCTAGTCACCGGGTTTCTAAGCAAGCTGGTATTATCAGGAAAGCGAACCAATGCAAGTACATGTAAGTATCTAGTCACCGGGTTTCTAAGCAAGCTGGTATTATCAGGAACGCAAACCAGGTAAGTATCTAGTCACCAGGTTTCTAAGGTAGCTGGTATTATCAGGAACGCGAACTAGGTAAGTATCTAGTCACCACATTTCTACTGAAACTGGTATTGTCAGGAACGCGAACAAGGTAAGTATCTAGTCACCGGGTTTCTAAGCAAGTTGGTTTTATCAGAAATGCGAACCAGTGCATGTACATGTAAGTATCTAGTCACCAGGTTTCCGATGGAGCTGGTATTATGAGGACGCGAACCAGGTAAGTTTCTAATGAAGCTGATGCTGTTCCAGGTATTTACATGTAATAACTGCTTATCATCAAGCCTTTTTGTAGATGATTACAATGTACATGTATTTGTGTTCAATGATATCACGTGAGTTAACGTCGCTCCGCCCTTAATCGCTTTTGCGGTTTGGAGAAACAGGATATTCAATATGTGATAACCGATACTCAAACCTTACTGCCCCAGTCATACTTTTTATACTGTAGTGTATTTAACCTTCACTCTTAAGATTCTTCTTAACGTTACCGATTCTTGGTTGTATCCGGGAATTGAAACAGAGAAAAAAGGAAATAAGTAATAAATTTAAATTCAAATTAGTAGTTCTTTTCATGCAAGTACAATTAAAAGAGTTCCTTGCTTCTTTCGTTAGAACCACATTTATTTTCGAGGAATATAACAAGATTTGTTCCAGGAAAATGCATATGTATATACATGTATGGAACCACTAACTAGCTATTAAGTAAAAGGTTACTTTTGTATATTTATACCAGTTGCTACCCCACATGGTGGTGAGGTTATTCCATGGTATTCCCGGACTTTCCGGACTGTTCCTCGCCTCTTTGTTTAGTGCATCATTAAGGTAGGCTTTGCTTGGTCATTTGATCAATTATAATAAAGGAGAGAACATTTTGAAATTCTGAAAAATACACTGTAACTCCATTTGAAATGTAAATGCATTCATACTATATACGTTAAGTATCGGCTTTAAGTTTCTGGATTCCTAGAAGGATGAAACAGGTGTTATTCAATATTGGCATATAATACAACAATCGTATCTAAACGTTATAGTTGCAGTCATCTGCTTGTACTTTATTTTTATCTTCAGTGAACGTATGTATACAGATTAATTGCTGTACGCTTATTATAAACTTTACGGTTTCGCCATTTTCAGCACAATATCTTCAGGACTTAGTTGTCTTAGCGCTCAGACAGTGGAAGATTTCCTCAAACCTCGGTACAAGGACATGTCCGACAGCAAAGCCACAGCCATAGCAAAGAGTTCAGGTAGGAGATTTATAACGCTGTGATATACGTGTACATGTATATACGCTTTATACTATTTGTATTGTCATTGATAACAATTTCATATGTTATATATGTAACTGTTTCAGTTTTCTGATTAGTTGCGATACGTATTTGGATAAACATAATATATATATCTTAGACCCAGAATGTCATCCAATGGTGCTGGGTGTATTACTATTACTATTGCATGTTAACTCTTAAACTGCCTTTTTTAATATATTTTGGATGTGACTCTGATAGTGCGTGGAAAAGTTGTAATGATTCTGAAATCTAATCAGTATATTAAGTAAATTAATATTCGCTTGTATATATGTTTGCACTAATTTACTCAACACGCGAGCATCTCCAAACCACGAAAAGTTTGAATTTTACAGTAATAAGTAAATATGAGATCGTATGTTTCAGTGCTATTCTACGGAGGACTTTCTCTCACCGTCACAGCTATGATAGCCGAAGTACCAGGGTCACTAAGTCAGGTATGAATGTATGCGTGGTGAAAAACCCCAAAGCAACTACTCACAGTCGACTGTGGGGTAAACAAGGCCAGGTATGGGTATAATGCCGGCTGTTATGTGGTAGTGTTACGGCTGCTCGAAAATTCCTTGTACATAACTACTCATATCAGCAATATGTGTTTTAAATCATAATATGATTTCATAATGTTTAATGTTGAAGTCCAACCATAATGACCTGTCGTGTTGGCCTTCGGTTTCTGTATATTGACTGCAGGCGAATCGATACCCAGGTATAGAGTAAAGGTAGATGCAGGTATCCACAAGCTAAATTTCAACGAAACAGTAATTATAACTAAACGGTTGTCTTTGCTGAACGTGAGTCACAGGTTATGATAAAACGAATTTTGTTAATTTGAATCTCAATAGTGCAATTTCCCATACGTTTGTTTTCTTTCTTTATGTTGTTTTATCAGTTCTGTTTTTAGGTAATTATAAAACATTTTTTATTGTTGTTTTTATTTATGTAGTTATTTTCTTCTAATAAAACATTTTATGTATTTTTCTAGGTTCTCATTCTATTTCATTCTATTTATTTATTTTCGTCACCGAAGCTTGCTTTAGTCTCACTACGGATAAAACTGCATGTGGTATATTTGTTGGTACTGACAACGTTCTTATGTTGATTTCTGTCATCTATAAGCTACATGTTCAATTTTAGATGGCAGAAGTTAGCCAGGCTCAGCTTCAGCAAGTTTTACATTATTAATGTATATATACAAAAAATACAAATACCTTCGTTCTTTATGCATTATCTTGTTTTTCTTTACGTGCAAAAATCGCTTTCATTTCATTAATCACTAACCATCTTTTGTTTATTATGAAAATGACCCTGATATAATATCGCATTTAATCAATTGTTTAGCTGACATGATTACTGACATCCGTTCTCGGTACGTGTGTACTGTATCCAATACACCCGAACTTCACTGAACAGATGGGCAAACTTGTATAAAGTAATGTAGCCGACCAGCATGACTTTCAAAGGAATGTCAATGTAACTGGTCATTTATGGCCGGCTACAGCGTGGTCAGCATGTCTATTTATAATCTCGGAATCTGTTATTATTATTACCCGTAATAGTAAAACGTGCCTTAGCGTTACCTGTCTATAATTACCACTTGTTTACACAGACTACATAACTATGTGTTATCCTAAATGGTTATTTTCTTTCATGATACATAATACTAATCTTATTGGTGATGCATGTAGTTCCTATGCAATGATTACATCTATGTATCGTTTCTGCATTGTAGATTAGCAGTTCAGTTCTCGGTTGTGTGGGAGGTCCAATCGCCGGCATGTTTTTTCTTTCCATATTTTGCCCTTGGGCCACAAAAAAGGTAGGCGTTTAAAAGTATTAAAAATGGGTATTTAAAAGTAGTAAAAAGTTAGGTACTTCAAAGCAACAAAATGATAAGGGCTTTAGAAGTCACAGGAAGGAAGGCGTTTAAAAGTAACAAAACAGTAGGAACATGTTTTTTTTAAGACCTTACGTTGTGTATGTTACAGAATGTTATTGGTCGTCATACCGATCGTATACGTATTCATTTTATATTGTTCAACTGATAACGTTATTTTGTAATACAATGTCTACTTAAATTTCTTCAAATATTGCATTTCAAATACCGTCAGTAATATTTTTAGAGCTCCAGCGCTATTGGTACATTTCAAATTCAACAGTGAAAGTCGGGAGAAAATCGACATTTATATACAACATTTATATACTGGTCATTTTGAAAATGTTAACATTTTAATAGGTGATGTTAAGTGTTATGTTTAATCTACTAGATATCGTATACTTTCACTTCCATGTGTATACCTTATTCGCCAAATCTCATTAAGAATGTCAACAAGGATCTATCTAACTCGATGATTTGGGTTTTTATATTTTTGTTTATTTTTGTTTACTTTTTTTATTATTATTATGATAATTCGATGATTTTAACAATGCAATTGTGCAATAAGGAAAACAAAAACAATTCTAGAACTGTATCACCACAAGATAAGAATTCAGGAGCGGCACACAGTTTGGTGAAAGTTAACCCGTGGTTAGATAAAAAATAAAATTTGAATACCATAAAATACAAAAACATCAGATATACTTTCACTATTGTTGACTTGTAGAATCAGATGAGATTGTGTTGGGGAATACATTTGCTTCGAAAGCCCGTGTTTCTTAATTACAACAAGTATTACTTTTCACTATCACCGGTTAGCGTTAACCAATCTCTGAGTAACCGGAGACAGAATGCTATGAAATGCCCGTTTGACATACTAATTTGGTCCATTTTAGGGCTTTCTTATTGGTGGAGCGGTTTCAATGTTATTTGTCCTTTGGTTATCGCTTGGATTAAACTTCTTCACGTCCACACCAAGTCAGCCTTGGCTACCGCCAAACCCTACAGACAACTGCTTTCTCGATTCGTCATTGTGGACAAATACAACAAGCATGATTAATTCATCTTTCTATAACAACGCATCGGCTTCGCCACTTAATGACCTAGCTTCACGAATTGCGACATACAGAAAGGAAATGGCTGTTTTTCAATCAATAGAACCGTAAGTTTAAGTGGTCAATTTGTAAGAACGACAATTTTACAATATAAGGTCATGAGGTCAAATCTCGGTCTAGCCCTGCTGAACATATACACCCTGCACTTTACAAAAGAAATTGACAATGCCATGTAATTTCGTACCTCATACACTGTATTATAGGAAAACATCACCTACATTTTACGTTTTTATTTTGATATTTAATATTTTTGATATATTTTAAAGGATTTAAGAACATTTTTGTTGTACTATACGAATTGTCTAGCAGTCTAATATATTTTATAATGTATAACTGTAGTTGAATATAGCGAGAAAAATACATATCAATATGCAAGTTTTTATCGCCAGTATCAAATGTATTCCTAATACAATTATGATTGAAACCTCCTAAATATAACTTGATTCAACTAGATAGTTTTTTTCAGCTAACCATATATAACCCTTATTTTAGCTAACATATTTTCGTTTGTTTTCTACTTCCGATGACCCAGACAAGGCCTTGATAAGCTGTATTCGGTCTCGTACCGGTGGTTTGGAGCCATTGGTGTATTAATTCCTATTGTTGTTGGTGCTCTTGTGAGCTTTGTCACAGGTACGTGATAAATAGCATGGATTTGAATAAAGGCAATGCCGTGGGGGATCATAGATGTAAATAACGGACCAGCTAACATAAAATGATATATACAGACGAATGTGTTCACAGGTTACAGACTTTTTAAAGAGAATCGAATAGTGTTTTGATATCATCGTTATTGAATGAAATATTCATCAGAGATTTGTGTCATACGCGTACTACCTTCACCCAACTTTAAAACCAATTCAGACGAAGCCCCGGATGACACTTTCTGTCAAATATCGCCGTTAAGTGTTATGATGTTAAAAATATAATAATATCATATGGAAACATACCTTCAAAAAATTGAGATAAATCAAAAGTTTATTAAATCATTACCTATTCACAGTGTACCTTTCTCTTAAGTACTGAAACTTTCGTATTTTTTTTTTTGTCTTATTCAATATCTAAGTAATAAGTGATAAACTCAATCGGATTTCTAGGTCATCCCCCAATGGATGAAGTCGATGTGAGGTACATATTACCTCTGGGGGACCAGTTGTTTCCGTATCTACCAAAAAAGGCACGTCGGTGGCTTGAGTTTGGGGTCGATTTTGAAAAGGTACATTCGATAAAAGTATATGTTCTTTCCATTATTACTATATCAACAATTCCGATTGTTGTTTCGTTTTGTAAAATTTGGCGTCAATTCTATGTTCTATAAAAAACAAATAGATTTTTATTTATTTTTTATTATCTGCAATATATAAAGCATTTTCCCGATATTTTCTTTTAAGTTAGACACAGACAGTTGGTCAAATCAAAACCTTTGGCTATTGAAATTGATCTGAGAATATATTCATTATACAAGACTGTTGCTTACGTCATATTCGGAAATCAATTACTAGTGTTACAGAATAACTAATATATTTATTTACTCATGAACTTTTGTGTGGTGAATTCATTATTTTTTGAAAATGATGGTTTCAGTAATAAATTGTCACCATGAATTTATGAATAATATTGCCATGTCGAGGTAAATTTTAACTTTAAGTTAAATTTTCAGTTGGTGTTTTCCATTTTACGATTTCCCCCCTCATTTTTTCACACCCAAACAATGTAAAAAATATTGTACACTGAAATGGGAACAAAGCTACTCCCATATCAGCCGATATCAGCCATGTGAAAATACACTTAAGGAATTTAATGTTGTCAGAGGTTTCTTGACATTATGTTGTCAGTAACTACAAAAGCAGTTGGATTTTGTCAAGTGTATGGCAACTTTTTTGTCAAATTCTGCTTTGCTTTCTGTATTTTTTGACTACACATTGTTGGCTCGTATAAGCCGTGACACTTTTCGAGCTTTACGCAAGTAATTAACATTCCTGTTTATAACACTAGGCTGCAGATGGAACACATGTTGTCTTTACACACAATAAGTCCCCCTCCCACCTTCCCTATGACCTTTAATTGTTTCCCCTTCTCACATATCTTTATAATATATGTTCTAGCTGGGGTTTGTGTCTCATTTGATTGTAGTCAATCGTTGAATTCGGGAAGAAGCCTAGTGGTATAAAGAGAAATGTTGATTACATGTGCAAAGCTCGAAAAAGTGACAAGGCTTATACGAGCCAACTCTGCGTTGTCAAAAACACTAGAAAACACAATTTCGGACATCGTATAAATCTCCATTGGGTTATTTGTTTACAATTTGGAAATAAAACCCTGTTTGTATTTGCATATTTTAATTTTTAATTTTATCGCAATATTTTGGAGATTAACAACATGAGGTATTCAAACAAATGATAAACTATTTCTTGAGAAATGAAAATGCACCTGAGTCTAAAGAACACATAGCAATGCTACTGTACAGTTAGGTAAGGTTTGAAAGAAAACACCGTGTACAAATAATGATTATAAATCAGTAACAAAGTTCAGAAGAATCTACACAATTAGGGAGTATCTATATACGTTGTTATTTCATTACCAAAAGTAAACACTACAAAATACAATTAAAAATATGACATACTTACCATTGTTTACGCTCATTCTTTCCAGCGAAGAAAATGGCTAGAGCAACAGGACGCGGAAACAACAATTCCAACCGATCTGTTTGGAGAACTAAATGTCGAGCTGGACGAAATTACGGCATATGATACTCTATCGACCGCAAATGGTCCAAATACTAATCATGATGTCAATGATGTTAACCTGGATACTGATAGAACACCAATTTGACTGCAGCACCTGATTTTATGCTGTTGGGGCATTGGCAAATTTGACCAAATTTGCATATGTAAAACGTTTGAAAAAAACGAGGACGTATACAGAATACACGTAAAATACAAGGACAAAAAGGGACAAAACATTTTGACTCTAATTCGATTTGTCATACGATCACTTTCGATTATGAAACATGTATATATATGCAATTCAAAAGAGTATCTGTTAATAATCTGCATTATATTGCTCGGCTATGATACGTAATTGTAGAAATATATTTGATGTACAATGTCCAATATTTAACGATTTTTACCAAAACTGCATTTATTGTACTCAGTCATCCGATATATGTTCTTCTTATAGTGAAAATATGATCAGGCTATTTTTCACAGCGTGAAGTATATATAAATACATATGTGTCTCGCTGCTAAAATGAAATAGATATATATATATCAACTATACCGTAAAATTCAATGTCACGTACATTGCAGTGTACCCTGCATAATGATATTAAATCTGAATGTTTTGTCTGAACTCAAAATGATTCGATATCCTTCTTTTAAGGTAGCAGTGTTCTGTAGCATACGATTGCCATGGGTGATATTTCTATACAATGAATAGCCCCTGTTATATTGCATGTATCAAAATTTAAAAAAAAACAGCACTAAAAATGTTGTACTCGTCACATGTGTACATATTGTGAAAAATTCACCGGAATAACCTATGCTAAAACGTGAGTCTTTCTGTTACCAAAAAGGCGATATTTAACTTCAGACAGGTTTTAAGAAAAAGATTACTACTTGAGGGGGTCAAATTCTGGGTTAAAAATCACGTGTTTTTGCATTATTTGGTGTTTTTTGATGTGGTAACCATGGTTTTAACAAGTCTCAAATCTGGGAAAAATAGTTTTAAAAACAAATCAGTCTTCTAAACAAAATGTATTGAAATATATATATATTAATTTGGGTGTGTTGTGCAGGTTGAATCTACTAACCATGTTTATCTGAGACATGCCCTTTATTTTTAGGATCAGGACATTTCTACTGTACTCTGCTACCTTATACACAGACATTTATTTTTTCTGAAAAAATGCCTTTCTATGCTTGATGCAGCTTCACTTTCATTCATCGTTACTTAAGACTGCACAAAACCTTTTAAAAAGTTACATATATAGATAAATGTATAGGTCACCTGTGGGATGTTTAAAGTGGGTAACTCGCCCTTTTCACAGGCACTTTACAATTCATCACATATGTGTCAATTGTGTAATTGGTAAAGTTGATACCAAACAACAAAGAATTCCTAGGCTTTCTCCTGATGAATTCAGACTAGATTTCGGTCTGTTTCACTCAGTTCAGCACCCGGTATCCATGGTTACTAAAACAAAAAGTTGTATTTATTGAAAATGGGTAAAATACACTATTTATGTTAACTGTTTTTTCCACTTGATTCAGCATAAAGATTAAATTAATTTTTTAAGTGAAATATGTTAAAGGAACAATTTCTGAGGGTCATTGCCAATTCTAGGTGAGGAGAGTAAACAACAGTTGCTGTTGTGTCTCTTGTCTGATGTTTCAGAATATCTGATATTTTGGTGCTGTTCATCGGTTACGGGAAGTGTGTCTGTTGCTAGTTTGTCGTTGTAATAGGTTTCCTGGTGTTCATGTTGATATCAGTTAGCATTGATGGTGCCATAGATGCCCGTTAATAATTATTATGACACCAAAGTAACTATGACGTCATCAAACAAAACAGAAACATTATAGTAGCACTGTACTGTTTTGTTTTTCACATGCACATGATCTCAAAACATCTGAGACATACCTTTTTATTTTTGGATCAGGCAATTTCTACTGTAAAAATTAAGTACTGACATTTCTTGTGAATTGTTTCGTCAGTTTGCATCAATATTCTGCGTCCATCCTATGAAGACATGGAAACCTGGAACCAAAATCAACAGAGCTACATCACATGAGTTTAAGGAAACAGAATGGATGTGAACAATAAATTATATATAAGTTAGACAGTTCTGTATGTATTTCTCTGTGGACTTATCAGACACTAACTGATACCATACCGCTGTATGGTGTATGTAAGATAATCACTACAAAGTACGTAAGAATGGAAAACATTTTGTTTATTGTTCCAGAAGCCAAATAAACTCAATATGTTTTGAAGTATCTGTATTTTACCATGACAGCATAACACTGATCATTATAACTGATATATATGGAAGGTAACGGAGACGCTAGTAAAAAAAAGTGTTACGAACTAGGCATCATGATCATCCATATAAGAAAAGAAAATTAGAACACACGATCATCCATATTAGGAAATAAAATAAGAAAAAACGTGAGATATGCTCCTGCTACTGAATAGCAGTTGTATAAACTGCCTCATAAAACCACCTAGAATCCAATGCATGACAGTTTCAGACTTACACCGCGTTGAACTGTTGTATGTAGCAAGTGAGCTAATATGGGTAAGTACTATTTGTTTTAGCATAGATGTTAAGGTGGCCATGGTCTTTCTCAAATTAATTTATCATAGACGAGTCAGAGTGATCCAACCACCTATGAGCCAGTTGTCCAGTGTTTGGGGACATATTGACCAATTTGCAAATCGCTCTATTAGTCCAAACGTTTAACAATCCACTAGAGCTTCCTAGGCAATGAAGGTTGACATGTAAGTTGCCTTATTTGTATTGCTCCATATTTGTCAATGTGAATCTAAACCCAGAGTATCCATTAAGTGGCAAAAAGTTCGGGTAAGCCTGACTATTAATGATTTCGTTGATTCACATCTTCATTTATTAAACGGACAATCAATGAAATTTCATATCAGATGCTAGGACTTTTATTTGGTCAGCTTAACGGACTCTACTAAAATATCAAAACCGAACAGTAACACATCTTGTTGATGTATCAAACTTTACTTTTGTGTTCAGAGCTGCAACATTACATTAAGATTTTTTTTTTTTAAATAAAAAAGTCACTTAAATGACATTCAACAAACAAAGCAAGCTCATAACTTGAATCAAATTCCGTGACTGCCTAACTCCTTGTTACATGTCTATAGTAAAGATATCGATTCCTCGACAATGTTCTTATACAAAATAGTGGCAAGAAGTCCATAATCTTTTGATTTTCGTTAATAAAGTGTTTTTTCAGGTTAAAATGTAAAACAAAATACCAACACACGTTAAATAAACATGATGAAAATGGTCACTCTTTGTGGAAACACTATTAATAAAGCTGTTTTGAGCTTAGTGTAACAATTAGAACATCAGTCACGTGAAACGGTTTGAAATGAAAATTAATAACTTTGAATCAAGAAGCTTAGAATTGAAAGTCAACTTGGTTAAAATTCATCGGGATAATACTATTTACTAAGTAATACCTAGTAACCATTCAAGTAAATGAAAGAAAATATTGATTTTCTTATTATGTTTCTTTATAATTTCAAAACAATATGTCATTCTTTTCCATTCTAGCATCAGAGTTCGGATTTCACGTTGTTGACTATGTTATTTTTGCTGGGATGATCTCCTTTTCAATCGGGATAGGTGAGTCGAATACATGTTACAACTAACGGAACAGCATAGTGTACGTTACATCCAAACCTGTTTATAACGACCAGAGAAGATACAAGTGGTCTACATAGACAGTAAATGATCTTTATAAGACGTATTTGAAGAATTGTCATAATGGCAATTGCAGACATTTGGTATAAGTGACAGCTTTTTATAACGGAGACAATGTAGTCCAGTGGTAGGACGCCGGGCTCGTAACCAAAGGGTTGCGGGTTCGAGTCATGTCATGGCACTGTTGGTGTATCCTTGAGCAAGATACTTTACTCCGCTTGTTCCAGTCTATTCAGCTGTAAATGAATACGTGGTTGGGCAGGGCTAGAATTGTAGAATGTTAGCTGTGAGCGTCGAAATGGCAGCACTGGCTGTATGCTCCCCATGGAGTTGAGAAAGATATTGGCTGGTTGCAACAGCCCTATAACCACGGATAAACATTTTTTGTGAACCGCTTTGAGATGTGGTAAACCAATTGTATTTGTCATAAGCCTATGGTGAAGTTTACAAGCATCTAACCGTGTGTTTTATATTCAAAGTAATGTATGAGTTATCGTAGCAAAAGTGTTTTGCCAATATTTGTATTTATATCTTTACTAATATGACAGTTGTTCAAATTCAGAAATGAGGCATATGACGTAATTTGAGAATTTAAGATATTCAGAAATATCATCAAAACCATATCTTAAGGATTGAACATATACAGTTGTGTGACCGCACACACACCAAAATTAGCGTGCGCACACCGTGCATACATCGTTCACACACCGTCCACACATCGTCCACACATGGTGCACACAACTGTGCGATTTAACAATCGTTCGCCCCGTTGTGCGCTTCTCTCCGCACAACTGAATATAAGAATGAATAGACAGAAATGTAAGCTTATAGATGTAGCTAGAATATAGAAACACACGTCAAAAACAAGTTTATATGTTTAAACACGAAACCGTATCAATTGTTAAGGCATTCCTCAATTTACACCAACCACGGTTGTTATCGCACAACGTTCGTCCATCGTGCGCACAAATGTGCGCAAGCTATGATTGTCCATTCGCACATCGTGCACACACCGTTCACACACCGTGCATACATCGTGCGCAAACCACACACCGTGTAACATTGTGCGATCCCACAACTGTACACATGGTGACGTATTGCTCTCTATGTGTACCTCCAAACCACCTATCAACATCCAAATGTGATGACGTAGTTTGCTATATTGGTATTCAAGCTTTATATAAACATTTGCATAATAACGATGACGTATTTCTTAAGGTGTGTACTCCGCCTGTTCCGGTGGGGGACAGAAGACTACCTTGGAGTATCTGGTCGGGAATCGTCGTCTGAAGATGTTACCGGTCGCCGTTTCCCTTGTTGTTTCCTTTGAGTCGTCCATACTGGTGCTTGGTTACCCTGCTGAAATTTATATCTACGGCGATCAACTTCTATGGACAAGCGTTGGGTTCTTTCTGGCCATGTTGACTGCCGTTAGAATAGTAGTACCTATGTTTCACCCACTCAAACTTACAAGCGTGTATGAGGTAAGCAGTTACCTATTGCAAAAATTCAAAAAACAAAACGTTTAGAATTTCCATATTTATATCAACCATTTCATATCGACGTCGGCATTGCGAGATAATAGTCATACGTCAAGCAGAGATTCGCCAAAACAATCAACAATCCCCCAAAATAAAAATATCAAAAAACGTGATATTGGTAGCTAAGATCAAAAGAAGGAGTTTTAATCTTGCAATGTATGACAATGATATGTTATTGAATAAAGATGGCATATCTTTATTTTGTTTTCAGTATTTTGAGCTTCGATACAAAAGCAAAGCACCCCGTTACTTGGGCACGATCATTGGGATTTTGTATTACGTACGTATTTTAATATAGAAACTCTTTCACTGCAAAAAGGAAACAAGATATCGCAGATAGTTAAGTTAATTAGCATTAAAGTTTTGTTTCTAATGAAATTTGACTCTTTTCTATTGCTCTTTAACTTACCTAGGACATTGTATACTTATTGTATGGGATATATCCATATAGTTTCTACTACAGCATGTAACGTATAAGTAAATATAAAATATATATTTTCTTTTGTTCCGGAAACGGAATCGGTGTGCTAATGGTTCAATCGGCGAACTTAACAATTAACACCAAAATGATCTTTGGTTGGAGTCCTTCAATTTTTTTTTCAGAATTTGTTTAATTTCAAGCATTCTCAGTGGACAGAAATTTGTGAAAAAGTTTGGGAAGGTGTTTTCGACATTCACTAAAATTCGTATTTTCAATTCGGCTTATATATGATTTTTAAAACTACAACTTCTTGAAACTAACTACAAGAAATAAGAACATATTTATCATGGCCTGATTGAAGACATGATACAATTTTCCAAGAATTATTATATGTGGCAAATATAAAAAATTAAAAGGATATATGATTTATAACGTTCTGTTGCATTTTCAATTGTTTACATAATCAAATATACTTAATGTATGAAATTTAAAAACGATGTGTCGAGCGAAGCGTATCTTATCAAATGTATTGTATATGTTATCCGTATTGTTAGGTTTTGCCAGTTTCATACGAAAGGAAAAAACATTTTTTAAGTTCCTTTCGTGACTTTCTTCCATCTTCCACGGGTTAAATTTTGTGCATGAATATCTTTAGATCCTTTGATCAACTAAGTAAATTGTGTGACGATGTTTATTATCGTTTTAGCTATTTTACATGGGTATTGTTCTTTATGGACCGGCAATAGCATTGGAAGCAGGTAAGAATGCTACCAGTAATGACATTTTGACGAGCGTGCAAACTAGATTCGTCAGATTATAAACTACCTTATCGTGTATACCGATTATTATACAGTGTATTTGATCAAGCAACGATTTTCCAGAACATCACCCTTATTTAAAAGTTAGCTAATAAGCATTGTGTGACTGGAACAGAATGAATCACAATGAGGCATTGTAGAGTGTGTTATATGTAGGGCTTGGTCGTGTACTTTTATAATTGCTCAGACTCTTAAATAAACACCGATTTCAAGATTGCAACATACGAAGCATTCCCTCTGTCACTAAACACAACACAGACGTTGTTGAATCCACTTGAAAAAGTGTATATGCACTATTTTGACCATCTTCATTCTGATGTTATAACATGTGTGGTGTATGTGATTACGATTTTAGGCTGTGAGTGAGGATGCTGGTGTTCAAGGGAATTTATGTGGATTTTGAGTGTATTGCATGTGTATATTTGATCTTAATCTAGGTTGAGGATTGCATTGAAGTTATTTATTTATTGTTTCTGTGCATTGTATGGTTTCGTTATTGCATAGATATGTGCCCAAATGCGTGCTCTTCGGCACCTGTATAGTTCACTAGACTCGGGATATTTGATTGTGTGTATCTACGTATTATACGGGTATGGTTTGTGTGATGTGTGCAATTGAAGTATAAGAGGCTGGTTTTTAACATCTCATATGTTCCAAAATTTGATTGTATGTTTTACCAGTTCCATATTTAGAAATTAAAACTTTTTTTGTTGAAACATATTTCAATATTTCTTTCATTGTATATAGTGACAGACCTGCCATTCTGGGCTTCTGTATTCTCCGTAGCAGGAGCAGCGATAATTTACACCTCTATAGTAAGATGCGTTACTTTATATGTAATTAAGCGTTATCCTTTTGGAACTGTGTGCATGATTTGTCACTAGAACTATACTCAATGAGTCAGATAAAATGGAACTGTTGTCAAATGATAAGGTGTTTCTGTATTTTTTTTTACCTGATGACAGCTTTGATTGAATATCTGAACTTTCATTGAAGTACTTCCTAGAAAAACGCTTGCTGTCAATGAGCATAGCACCTGTTCAGAAAACGAAGTACCTTCTTGTCAAGGAGAACTTATCTGTTCACAACATGATCAATGCCTAAATACATAGAATATTTATCAACAGCCGATGAATATTTAGCATTTTATCACGCGATGTGCTAAAATATTATCAGGGAATTAATCAGGCTATTACAATAATAACTGCAACGTGAGTATTGAAGTATGCGACGGATATACATGTACTTGTAAGATAATAATTAAGACTATGATATAAATACTGGACAATCGGAGATATAAGGTTTCCTCATGTTGTTGAGTGTGTGATTTGTGTTGTTTTGCTCAATACTTTTCATTCATTTAAAAAAATGTTTACCAAAGTGAACTTGATAAAACATAAATCATTATATAATTTTCTTTGTTAATTCAATGGTGGTAAATATTTGATGCGGTGTAGATTAGCATTGGGATATAAAAAGTCGCGCTTGAATATGGCTTTTTATTATCATTAATCTGTACAGGGCGGAATACGGGCGGTCCTGTAGACGGAATGGTAGCGTTAGCTTATGGCATATGTTGGTACATGGCGGATGTGTTAATGAATTCAGTTGTCAAGCGGCCACTGTGTACATATTTATGATAGAGCGAACTCAATGTGGTCGTGTGGATGGATGTTTTATAATGTATAATTATATCTGTGTACAGGGCGGACTCAAGGCGGTCGTATGGACGGATGTTTTATAATGTATAATTGTATCTCTGTACAGGGCGGAATCAAGGCGGTCGTATGGACGGATGTATTACAATGTATCATTATGACCCTAGGGATGAGTGTTGTTGTCATAAAGGTAAACATGTCAATATATAACGTATATTTAATTACTTGAATCGAACATTTCATAGATAATATAGAAAATAGATCGAATTATATATATAATGTTATATTTGTCTTATTGTCTAAGTAATACATTTTGTGGCACAACAATAAATAAAACATGTTAAGGAAAGCAACGGCTTAGTTAGCCTTTCACCGTGATTTTTTGATACCATACAATAATATTTATCATTACGTCATTGTGAACGTTGGTTAAAGTATCATACATAATCAATTGATATGGCTGTTTTATTACTCTGAATACTTATCAAATGCTATATATATTGTCATTTGAGATTTTCGTATTAAGCCTTCTGTAATATGATTATATTTATTTTGAGTTCTGACAACAATCGTCTTTGTACCCCTTTTGTTACCCTTATAAACTGATAGAAGCCATATTACTATTATTGACTACTATTATCATAAATGATGCTGGAACTTTATATTATGTGTGTCGTATTTCTCTGTCTGGGACTGGTATCGGGTTCTTCCTGTTATAGGGTACGATGGATGTAGGAAACATAGGAAAGGTGTTCCAAATTAACTACGAAAATCTTAGACTCAATTATTTCAAGTAAGTGGGTAGCGACACGAACATCAAAATGTATTTGCCTCATATCTTAAATTGTGTTTCTGCGACGAATATCATATCAATTCAAGTTACAGAATAGCTTAGGAATACTCAGTACAATCATCTACTGCGCGAAGGAGTACAAAGCTGCCATACTTTTGTTAACTTTAGAAATTTGTCGTTTAATTGAAAAACTCACCGTACCGGCCGAGCTTTGACAACTCGCTTTGGAAGCCATTTGACAATAAACAACTATTGCATCGGTGATTCAATTAACAGGATAGGCTTTATATTGGTAGCTCATGTTAAAACAAAATATTTTCGACACTTTGGAGCGATCACGTTGTGTGATATCTTTTTATTGATATGTCAATGGAGTGACCAATTTTTTTTTTCTGTCGATGGATAACTTCAGGGACAACTCTTTGATGATACTCTTGCTTCATAGCTTACTAAATTGGGGACATCCGAGTGGATAATGTCTAACGTTTGTCGCAAAAATAGCATGTATTTTAACTATGATCTTGTTTAATGAATATCTTAATTGTATAAATTGCATATCTATGTAAAGCGCTTTAGAGTGGCTTATTCTAGCTAGGTAGGTCACTATATCAAATGTTGTATATTATTATTAATATTATATTATTACTGAATTTTCACAAGTTGTACGACACGTTGAATGGCTATTATTGTTGTTTGTAACTCTTGTTATTTCAATTCCAGATTTGACCCAGACCCGACAGTTCGACAGACTGTCTGGTCACTATGTTTAGGGTTTTATTTTGCGGGCTTCGGCATGGCATTCAACCAGGCAACGGTTCAAAGGATAAGTTCCGTTAAGTCTTTACAAGAAGGCAAACGGTAAGAAGACCTGTTTCACGGCGTTTGATAAATTTGAATGTTCTCCTTCAGAATTCCTATCCCTGGCACCTCCCACGTTATCTTGACCTTTGTATTAACGAAGAATTTAGAAAGAAACTTGGTTACAGCCATGTCACTAGGTCGGATATTAAATAATGTCAATATTGTAAGCAGATCTAAATGACCATTAATTATAATTAAACGTCCAAAAAGGCTCAAATAGAGTGATTATCCACTTATTTGATCAGCGCAAAAACTATTAGTTTTACATGTTGGACTGCAATATCACCGGATTTTTGTAATATCACCTTATTCACTGGATCTCTATATCACAATGCTGAACAAAATATTCAAATGAAATGGGACGTAGCACAGGGTCTGGAAAATGTTTCACCAAAAAAAGAAAGAAATTAACACAAAATCTGAAGAAATATAAGAACAAAGTAAAAGACATGTGGCTCGTTACTATATGCGTACGTGGTTCTAGAATCGTTATGTTTCTGTTTATGCTAATATGGCTGTTTAAGACATTATATATCGGCAAGAATTATATATATCCGACAATTTCTTTAATTATGATGACAAGCGTGAATATGAAATTGCATTTGTGGCGTTTGGACGTAAACTGATACTATTTTTTTCCTACATAAAAATGTATAAATCATATTGTCTGCATGCCATGTCGCGTGTATCTAACCAGGTAAAAATGGGAAAGCGTACATGTTTTATAACATTTTTACTTTCAGAATTATGTATTTTGCTGCTCCAGCCTTCTTCATTATCGCCCTTATAGTCAATATTGAAGGTCTAGTGATGTTTGCCTACTTTAATGCCGTCGGCTGCGATCCCATTGAATCAGGTCAGATAAAGAATGCTAATCAGGTATGTATTAATTAATAAAAATCATTACGTCTTCGCGTCATAAAGAATATTTGGTAAAGTCATTGATATCATTGCTATTTGAGCTTAATTCAGAAAGAAATGGTAAGTGTCGGCATGATTTAAAATCCCTATGATTTGACTATTAAAATGTATTTCAAAAGTACATAAATTTATATTACGAAATTGGCTAAGGTTTGAAATTAAACAACAAAAAAGGTACCTCTGTTTAATTGTTCCAGTTGCTACCCCACATGGTGGTGAGGATATTTCATGGTCTTCCTGGACTCTCCGGGCTGTTCCTCGCCTCTTTGTTCAGCGCCTCGTTAAGGTAGGTTACATAAAATACTTTAACAGTGGTGATTTATACATTATATGATAATGACTGTTAATGGACACTGTTGATTTTCTGGCCGACAGACCAGAGATAAATAAGGGATCGTTTCAGGCACTTTTTTATATGTGTATCCCGGGTGATTATTTCGATACTTACAAGGACTACTAGTGTGTTATCATGTACTAAAATATATAGACGTTTATGTTACATGTAAGACCTTATGTTAACGCCATGCACAAGCTAGTTGTCTTTTTTTTGTCAATATTAGAACAAGCGCGTATCATTTTTTGCTAGGGATATAATTACACAAACTAATATATTTGGAAGTTGAATATATAAAAGATATCAAAAGAATAGTGATAACTTATGATTTATATCCATAAGTAAATTGACTGGTGCGGGTTTATACTATTGAATTAACTAAACTAAACGGATACGGATAGGACACAGGCTTAGTAATTAGGGGACAACCATACCGTATTTTGAGATTTGCGGCGGTATATCGAGATTATACTGTCGCAAATTGAATTGTTTTGGCAGCACGGAGCGAAGCCAGTGAAACAGATATTTGAGTAAGTATAATTACGATATACCGCCGCATATCTCAAAAGAAAGTAGGTTTATCCCCGTTCTAATTCATATAATCCACAAAACCAAACAAAACGTTTTGTTCCTGACGTCATTAATAATCAATTTCATGACGTGTCAGGGTCAGTCGTAGTCCGGGCTTCATATGTAGATGAGAAATTTGTTGACGGTATATATTATTTTGATTGAACAATCAAATGTCGGGTCACATCTCAAATGAATTAGAATATCTGTTTTACAGCACAATTTCATCTGGATTAAGTTGTTTAAGTGCTCAGACAGTACAAGACTTCATTAAACCCCGATATAAGAACATGTCCGATGGAAAAGCCACGGCGATTGCCAAAGTATCAGGTAAAGTTAATGTATAATAAAGAGGTGTTTTTAAAACAGTTTTCTGACCGTTCTTCTGATTTACCATTGCAACTTATGCTTTCTGGTGATACTATTTTTCTTTGATAAATATTACCAAATATTCACTATATTGTTTAAGTGGGGACATGCATTACTGAATCAACTGACAACCAATTGGTGGAAAGCTGTTTATTTATAATGTCGCAATCAATCAAAGACCCAGTCACTCTTCAAGTAAGCAAACGATATCGTCTACTTACAATGCGACAAGATAATCTCCCTATAGTTTCATGAAATATCAACACCTTTTTTTTAATAGTATCTGTGATTTTAAATTGTTCAAAATAAGTATTGTTGCATGTTTCAGTCTTTTTCTACGGAGGGATGTCTGTCGCTGTCACAGCGTTGATAGCCAATGTTTCGGGATCTATGAGTCAGGTATAGGATAATATGCAATTTAAAAAGAATACTTTATACAGGGAAATGTTCGCCGCAATTTATCTTTTGCCTTTTTCGCCTCCTGCAAGAAGTGGAATATATCATTACAGTGGTTTGTATGATATGTATGTTATCGGCGTAGGGCAAAAGTTTAACTGGGACAGTATAAACAGGAATCATACAAACAGAACACGACTGTCTTAGGTGCTTCTATAATTAGTTTAGCTTAGGCTTTGTTTTATTTAAACATACATAATGTCAACATGCAAAAAGTGTTGATACACTTATGTAAATCTGTTACTTCATTTCGTAACCGATATTTACAACTACAGCTTCAGGGGTAGTGACGTAAACAAGGATTCTTTTCATGTGTTTAAGGCAGAAAGAGTCAGGGAATTATAGTGAACAAATAACGTACATGTAACAATACACTGTTTCATGAAAATGGTATAATGTGACTTAAACAGAGATCCTATGGCATTAGTATTAGTAAAACTTGAGGTCCGTCATTACCTGAATTGACATGTCGGTAGATATAATTGAAAAATAATGAAATAAAATCGCTGCAATGATACTGTCGTAAATTTGGTGTGTTATCACAAACCGTCACAACATGTAGTTGAGAACTGCTCTCAAGTCCCAAAAGCTATTAAAATAAGCGAAGGAAAATCACTCACGTGTGTTCTTGTCGAATGTCCGGATATAAAGAGACCGCGCCAATACGTCACAGCGAGGTTGTTGAGTAGCTCGACGAGATATCGTACCGGCGGGGTCCACGGTTCAAGGAGAACTCTCCCGAAATTCACCACAATCCATTCCAGAACATATTTTTATACATTATGATGTGTTACTCTCTAATAATAATGTGGATTTTGTTTACATACGTCGTTAGTTGTTGTGATAAAGCTTTATTGCAACAGCTTTGTGATACTTTCAGGTATTGGTTTATACTATTGCCTTTTGCATCCTACGTTCACATAAGATTCAATCTACGCATCGGAGCTGATACTGTCCTCTTGATGTCTTCATCGCCAATCACTTACTCTGTGTTATTGGTCAACTTTGTGGTCATTAAAATTATTACCTGGATATTAGGACTAATTTTGACTATCATTTTTCTTAAAGATACATTGTTATGTAAGATTTTACCTTTGATATTACTGAACCATTTATATCGTCTTACTTCAAAATATTGATTTTCATTTAAAGTTTCATATATTTTCCAGATAGCGGCTTCAATACTTACCTGTTTCGGAGGTCCTCTGTCCGGCATGTTCCTCTTTTCCATGTTTTGTCCATGGGCAACTAAAAAGGTGGGCTGTACGACAAAATTCACAAATACGTGATATGGGTGTTCATCACTACAAAGGAATAATTGTACATTGTTGAAAATAATCATATTGAACGGTATTTCATTGTCCGTCGGCCAGAAAATCTCTTAAAGTATTATTACGTCATCACAAACGTGTTTATGGCATTTATTGTGAAATCATGCAGATCAATGATATACGTCATGGACTGGTGGTAAAGGAAAAAATGAAAGCTTTATGTCTTTTTTTCTCTCTTCTTTTGAAAAGGTTTATTTTGTCAGCTTTCATAAAATTTCAACAGCTTTGATAACGTAAGTGATACAAAATAATTCCAAACTAAATATGTATATTAGAGTTCCCAAAACTCTTTGGCTTATTCTATGGAACTGAAACTCATAGATACTGAACTGCCCTTGTATTGATCACGCCACATTTAAAATGGATCTGATTCAATAAAAAATGTTGAAACGTTTTATAAAAGGCGTCCATTCAATTAAATAACACTTTTTATCAAATGCAATTTTAGCATGTTTTCTGTATAACAGGGTGTCGTCATCGGCGGGGTAATATCGATGATATTTGTTTTCTGGATATCCCTTGGACAGAACTTCTTCACGTCTAAACCAAGTGAGCCTTGGCTGCCACCAAACCCAACAGATCAATGCTTCCTGGATTCGACATTCTACACTAACACAACTTTGATGACTAATTCAACTGTTTACTACAACTCATCAGATTGGCATCCGTCGCATCCTAGCAACACATCTTCACGAATAACGACATACCAACAAGAAATGGAAATCTTCAATACCATCAAAGCGTAATTACTTTACATATTGCGTATTGAATATGAAAATGTGGTTTATATATCGATGGTGTATACACAATGGAAATGTCGATTGGAACATTGAATGATTAACAATAATAACGTCATCAATTCAAAATGATTCAAATCTATACTTGCGTTTTGTGTCACAGCCTGGGTTACCTGTATATGCTATTTTACATGTACACCATACAGCTCAACCGTTTTATTATCCTAACGTACAGAATTACGCAGGAGTCCCATCAATTCATTTCTTGTTTGTGTACATTTCAAATGTGTTATCATTTCATATCGTCCGTGATGATAATTAGGGCGAATGTAGCATTAACGGGACATTAGTAGACAATATGATATGCATTACTGAGGAGGCGATACTAACACGGGGCGAATATGGTTAATTCTTGTGAAGAGTGTACATTTTATTTGGCGAAAACATCCTGGTATACAGTATAAATTCGGTGATAATTTGTCATTAACTCTTTCCTATCTTTTTTTCGACAACCCAGCCAAGGTATTGACAAGTTATTTTCCCTCTCGTTTCGTTGGTTTGGGGCCGTGGGACTACTATTGACGATTGTGATAGGATCTATCGTAAGCCTGATGACAGGTAATGACATGAAGTATGATACAACGTAAAAGTTTTATAAATAATTGATGTTCTTCTGGAACGATTTTAAAGTTGAATCAACTTTATTCGCTGTATATTGAGATTTTGTAGTTAAGCGTGTGTAGCTCCTTAAATGAGCTGGAAATGAAAGGGGAAAAAAATACCAAATGTTGTTTTATTTGAGTATCCAATTTCAAAAGAATGATAGTTAAGCTATAAATAGGTTGTTTATAGCATTTCATATACATATATCTTGCTAATGAACAAAACGCCGGACCATTATACCGTGTAGAAAGCCACTCTAATATTCTGGCACAAATATATGAAAAATAAATCATAGTGATTTTAGTCAAAATATGTATTTTCAACGCGTATAAAAATGTATAAAAAAGAATAGGGGTATATGAATCTTTATGACAACTATAAGGTAGAATACGAACAAAAAATGCTTCAACATAATCTCTATTGTTCCATGCAAATAATAGCATGTCAATCTGTTTCAGACATTATATAACTAGCGAAGGATTCCGATTAAATTTATACATATACTGTAAGAAATACATGTAGCCGAGTGATTATTGCACATGGCAGAAAGCACACGACAACTCCGAATTTAAATAAGGCGCGCCATTGTAGATTACACAGAGTAATCTAGTATCTCAAAATAAGTCGAGGGGTAACTTCATTGTATTTCAAATTTACTTTGATAGAAGCAAAATTCACTTATTAATCACCGAGGCTGAGTTGCAGTTTTTAAAATTTCTTGAAAATTAAAATATAAATATGTCTATTTATAAACTATTTATAAACTATATTACCTTGCCGAATCGCAATTGGCGTTATAATAACATTGTCTAAATTTCGAGTATTTGAGATAAATGACATGTTTTTTTCTATATTTCAACGTTTAGTTGCACATCACAAAAACAACTACAGCTCACAAAAACAACTACAGCTTAGCCCATATGGCTTGCACTGCTGTAGAGATCGCTAATATTTATTACATATAACATACATATGTTCATAATGTAAATATTGTAAAACGTTAATGACCCTGTAACGCGATAGAGAATGTTATAATTTGATTATGGCTATTCAACCAATATTGTATTACCTAAATGTAGACAAAACAGGAAATGATGTTTGGCATAGTATTTATCATTCTGGCTTCTGGTTGGTTGAAGTTGCCCAGCGATGAAAAAAATGTGCAATGTTGTGTTTTTGTGTAAAATCATTATTGTTTTTATCAGCAATGAATACATAATGTATACGCATTCATTTGTTATGAACAAATCAATTATGTCTGACTTTTAAATTCAATGATAAAGGTTATATGGTATATACTAAAAACACTATGACTTTGCATAAATCCACAGTGTTTTAGGTATACATTGTATACCCTATAGCCCCATAATAATCCTTGATTTGTCTTAAATAGATATCGTATTCAATGTAGAACCTTACTTAATTTGATATTTAGGTTATCCAGCACCAGATGAAGTAGATGTGAGATACATTTTACCTATTGGGGACCAGTTGTTTCCCTTCCTTCCAAAAAAGGCCCGTCGGTGGTTAGAGTTTGGGGTCGACTTTGACAAGGTAAATATTATATACACACAAAGAATATATTGAGCTTCATATATGATATTCTGATTGATTTCGTGGTAAGTGAAAAAAATGTCAAATTCTAGAAATGCACAAACCGCATTGATATTTCTCTTTGTCAAAATCAAGTTTGGAATTGAAATACACAGTTTATGAATGCTTCACCTTATGAAATATTCGACCATTTAACACCAGAAATGCATTACTGTCTCTCGAACAGCACAAAACTACAATTACGTGAAGGAGTTCTTTAAACATCTTAGATAATAATAATATAATATTAATTATATAACTAGTTTATGATATTTTATTTATTGTCATTCTGACTTACACTCGGAGTATGTGAAAATTTACATTATAAAATTGTAAGAAGTTGTCGTGAAATTTCTCCGATTATTGTTTGGGTACATGTATGTCCTATGCTGACAGAGTAACACTCATTCATAATTTCTGGATATCGACATCGGAAAAGTGTAAGTGTGGTAGGGGAAAGATCCAGTTTTTTTCCTTTTCATATTTGGTTACTTTGTTTTTTGTCTCAAGTACCTTAATTTCAAAAGAATATTGTTCGGTAAATTAAATGCATCGCAAGAGGTGAATTTTAGAAACATTTCGGAAATTTCAAAATAATGACGACTCAGGAAATTATATTAATTTAATTTAGGTTGCCCTTAACATTATTTTTTTAAAGCGGGGCAACTAACATTACATTGTACGATAAGAAATTTCATAATAATCTAGTCGACACGGCAAAGTTCAGTAGTCATAGAAGCATGAACGCTATTTTGTCTTAATCTAATAATAAAAAAAAACTATTTGAGGTAGTAAAATAAGTTTAACTCATAAAGATATTTTACGATTTAGCGAAGAAGATGGTTAGAACAGCAGTCCGAGGAGACGATCATCCCTACTGATCTTTATGGAGAAATTGGTGTGGAACTTGACGAGGTCAAAGACACCCTGCTGATCAGCTATGCTAGTGATTTAGTTAACTAGACTACTTAATGTAATGGATAGAATAAATATCGAACATAAATAAGTTTTGTGGCACAAGTGTTTTTGAATATTTCAGACTTTTACATATCAAATTACATTTCATCGTTTTGTGGGAACATTAACAGTTCGAACAAACAACACATTGTGTCACTGTTAATTCAGATAAACCCGATATAGGTAATAGAAATAGAATACACGTCATAATTTGTGATGAATTTGGTTCTAAACTAAGGTAATAACACTATTAATTGGTGTGACTGTCTTTTAATACTAATAAAAGATTACAACATCATCTAATTTTCTATTATAATTTCGATATACTGTGTAGTTCTTTGCCAAAACCGGTGCGTTTTTTGTATGAATTTTTGTAAATTTTCAAATAAAATGTACGATTGTTATCATAAGTGTACAGTGTAGAATGGTATCGTTAATGAACAGTAAATTTTACGTGTCAATTAACACTACTGTGTATGTTAGTGGCGCTGTCTGGGCTGTGAATGTCTCACGAGTGTCGATAACCATTCCGATTTTTATTTTAGAAATATAAATGATGACATTGCAATTTATGAACCAGTCGTATTGAGAATACGTTTTTTTTAAATCGGCGTTTGTTTTGTTTAAAAAACAAAAAAGGATAAAAAATAAAGAAAAATAAAGTTTCAAAATACATAGAGTTCTAATAGCAATAAAGTATTAAAAATCCTTAATTGTTGTCAACACTTTCAAGAAAACAAGGGATTGGATAGTCAAAATGGTATACTAGAGGAAGAGGGGGTAAGTTTTGTACGAAGTCTGTGTATTGTGTGTTTTCGACTATTATTATAATTCATATGCTACCACGTGCTTAAGGACGGAGGTGAAAGGTCAATGCTACTTTATTATGATTTAATAAGATAGATTATGAACGCAGTCAATTACCTGCCTCTTTGTCCATATCATACATGTATAACATAACAATTTTAATTTAAAATTCACTCCCGTTGCTATGTTTGTAGCTAGCTAAGTGATTAAATTTCAGTTCAAGATGTTTCCAATGATTGTTCCATATATGTCCCTGACTGTTTCATATATCAACAGTTCTGTAACCAAATGAATGTTTCCTAATATCTAATTTACCTTTTTTTTCTTTATTTCTTGTGTATGCCCTCCTGTTCCAGATGTTGAAACTTTATAAAAGATACAGTATACAAGTACTATCATTCATTAATGCGAAAATCCGGTCATGGCATCGTCACTGTAACAAGTATAATTATGCATTTTTGTACAGACTTTTTCTTAGGAATTGACATTATTTAGGGGGGGGGGGGTCAATTTGGGATAAAGTGGGCAGTTTCAACCCAAACCCACCCAACTTGGATATTTATGCTTAAAATTATCTACAGCTTCTATCTCTTCCCTCCCATATTGGCCTTCATTCCTATATTGGCCTTCATTCCTAGACCCAGGTTTTCATATACCCTCCGATGCACCCCAACTCCTACGTCCATGATCAAATACGGTGGTCCGCCACGTGATTTATTTACACTTTTGGAATAGAAAATATATACACAATCTACATCACATTACAATCTGGCTTTTATGCAAACGTAACAACTGTTGCGCAGAGATTATCGATGATTTTGTGCACGGGAAAATCCCAGATAACGATATTAGCCACAGAGACGATAGAAACACAGTTATTGAGACGGGCGTGTTGGAAGATCGTTCATTGATTCTACCGACGCAGGTACGTATTACAACTCTTTACTGTCGCCATCATCATCATCACATTCGTCGTCGTCGTCATCATCGATATAAAGATAGGGTATATATATGAACTGTCTCATCGGTTTATGAACAGTTCAACGATAGCTACCTGGTTTTAGCTAGCACTGTGTTTAACTTCCACTATCTCTCAAGCCATGTATTTTATGAATATTCATGATTCAAATTACACGGTATGAAATGTAAATCTTAATGCAAGGTGATTTCGATAGTGTAAAGATTTTCAATAAAAGTGATTCGTTCGCTCGAATTATTGGAACTGTCCAAAGACTGTCGGGACAAGCATTATCTGTACATGTACCTTAACTGGAATATGTGTAATGGTAAGGATATCAGTTAAAGTACATGGCTTACCATTACGTCATCTTTGTTTTACATAGGGAAATGAGAATTTGTTACAGTTATATGTGGACATGACTTAAGGAGTTCAGAGTATTTTTTTTTACACTTTTAGGGGTTTAGATCAACTTTCAGAAAAATAAACCCCTCCAATGATGATTATTGAAAGTTCATCTAAACCCCTAAAACTTGTAAAAGTATTATGAACACATCAGTTTAGGTCAAAATATAGCCGTAGATGTAGCAAATTATCAAGTCCCTGTGTCAATTTGTACCTACGAGTTTCAACTTTATGAATACCAATACATTTTTGTATGACGAACCGTTTTGACAGATCTAGAGTATGTTAAATTATTGTCAATAATTACGTCCATATTTGTGTTTGAAAAAAGTCTTTTCTAATATTTTTGGTCTGATTGCCCATTCTATATACTTATGTAACAAGTGTAGGATAATCTTCCTATGTGTATAATAAATGCTCCTTTGTGTTGACTTCGTGATATGACTGAGAAGTAAACAGAGCTACATGTAAAACTACAATAAGTATACAGTGTAAAACTTCGATATAATGACCATTGTTCCATTTCACACTTCGCGTACTGCCAACATATTTCAAGGCCCTTTTTTCTCTTTTTCTTCGGTATCTCCTTATACCTTTCCCTCAACTTATCGCCAAACCCCCTTTTTAATGCCGAAGCCTATCTGGACAAATCGAGGTTTTACTGTATTGCATAAATTTGCTAAACAAATGATACACCACAAGGGAACAACGTCTTACTTAAATAGGGTTGAATAATGAAATATAAAAACAGTGCGTAAGTCTGGGACGACATGAACTTGTCCTAGGCGTGACGTCACAATTGAAACAATTGAAATTTACAACCAATCACAGAGCTGATAATGCATATTACATGGGTTAATACGCCAAAGATATGACATGGGTACATAGTGTTATATAGGAGTAGTTAAAAGTAGTGTTTATATATTATTAGTTCCAAAGATGTAATGGTAATGATAGAAATATTCCGTGTTTCGTTTTCTACGTTATATTCCGCCACCGGACCCAAATTTAGTTTTCTTTCACGCGTACTGCAATGGCGCTTGACACGGTAGTCTGTCGTCAGATAATTTTGGGTTGTTTGACTATGTAAATATGTAAATTAACTACTGTATATAGCTTTGGTATATAGTAAATACGTTAACTGTTTGATGTTGTCGAGGTTATCTGTTGGTTTAGCAGGAACGGTGTATTTCGACCGTAACATAAATTGGGGGCTCCTCCGGGATCGAACGATTTAAAGTGACCGACGTGTCACGCGGTGTTAACAAGTTTGTTAAAACTTTTTACTGCTAAACCAACAGAATACCATGGCAAGTGCATCATTTCTTAAGTCTCCCAGTGTCGAGGACTATAAGAATTTAAAGAAATGCGATGTACTCGCTATAGCCAAACATTACGATTTGAACGTAAAACAGTCCATGAGGAAACAAAGTATTATGAATATTCTTGTAGAGTATTTAATAGAAGAGGAAATTCTAGATAACACTGCTTTAGAATTGATTGTTGACAATACCACCGAGGGTTACAAAATACGAGAGTAAGAACTCCAATATCAGCGGGACAGGGAGGAAAGAGAACAGGGTAGAGTGAAAGAGGAGCGTGAAATGCGACTTAAAGAAAGGGAGTTGGAACTAAAATTTGAGAGGGATCAGAGAAACCATAATTTTAAATTAAAAGAGTAAGAAGTAACAAATCAATCTAACCTGGCCCCAAGGCTTGCTGGTACCAATTATGTTGATGCTGCTTAAAATATCAGACTTGTTCCTCGCTTTCAAGAAACAGAGGTTGATAGATATTTCCAACATTTTGAAAAAATTGCACTCAGTATGAAGTGGTCCAAAGACGTTTGGACATTGTTACTTCAGAGTGTGCTAATTGGGAAAGCGAGGGAAACATATTCTGGAATGCCTGTTACTGATAGCGGGGATTTTGAGTTGGTACAGAGCGCCATTTTAAAGGCGTATGAATTGGTACCAGAGGCCTATAGGCAGACGTTCCGGAATTTCCAGAAGGAAACTGAGCAAACGCATGTGGAGTTTGCGCGAGAGAAGGAGAGACTGTTTGATAGGTGATTGGACTCTAACACTGTTGATGAACAGTATGACAGGTTAAGGGAACTGGTCATTTTAGAGGAATTTAAGAACTGCTTACACTCAGACATCAAAACGCACTTAGCAGAGCATAAAGTTGACAACTTGGGGGAAGCATCTAGAATGGCGGATGAGTATTCTCTTACTCATAAACTGAGTTCGGGTAGAGGTCCCCAGGGTCATATCGGTGCTAAAACCCCTCCTTCCCAAAAAAGTGGTTCTCGTGATAATGTACCATCTATGGATAAAACTTCAGGGCCGCCGAAAAAAGTCTACAATTATGACAATCATAGACCGGGGTCTGTCCTGGTGTGCGGTTATTGCAAGAAGAAAGGTCACATCATGCCAGATTGTTGGTCGTTGAAAAAAAAAGGGGGGAGAAGAAGAGTCAAGCTCTCCCTCATGCCTGTTCTGTTAAAACCCCAAAGAAGTCATGTGTTGAGTTAGAAGGAATGCAATCTCAGTCTGAGAAAGTGATGAGGGACTATAAGCCATTTATATCGGATGGTTTTGTTTCACTAGGTAGTGGTAGCTCTAACCCCGAACCACACAACATTAGTATACTGAGGGATACAGGGGCGTCACAGTCTTTAATGTTGGAAGGAACTCTACCTCTCTCTGATAAGTCTTTTGCTGGTGCTAGTGTATAGGTCAAAGGGGAAGAGCTAGGTTTAATTAGTGTACCCCTTCACAATGTGATTCTCGATTCAGCCTTAGTGTCTGGACCGGTCCCTGTAGGTGTAAGACCTACTCTTCATGTAGAGCGTATTTTCCTGTTGTTAGGCAACGACTTGGCAGGGGATAAGGTGTTGGCCAACCCTATTTTGACAGTCTCATGGATTCAATGCATAGGAGAATCCGTGCAGGGATTCGTGCAAAAGGTGCCCACACCAGGTACTGAAGTGTCATTTTGTTTTTCGCGGGTATCCCATTTTGAGTAACTACTGATGACACGAGTGACGTCACACAGTCTTTTCTTCTACAATATTTTTAAAGAGTAGACTTGTCCCTTCATAT